TTAATTATTATATTACATTTATATTTTAAAAAAAATTAAAATTAAAAGCTTAAATTTTATAATAATTATATATATATTTTTTAGTAAAGAATTATAAGAGAGACATAACATGTTTAGTTTTCTGTAGTTGTTCGTGTGTTGTTGATACAAAAAATTATCTCAAAGATAAAGAAATATTGCTGATATATTTTAAATAATAATAATTTAAATTTTTTAAACTAAAACCCTGAATTTTTTTTTTAATTTTAAGGCATTTTCATGTGTATTCAACTATTGATCAACGAAGAATTTTCGACTAATGAAACTAAAAATTAATTTAGTTTTAAATATTTTATTTCAATAATAACATCATTATTATTATTATAAAATAAAAATTTAATATTTTAAACTAGAATTTTTTAAAATTTATATTTAATTAATTGAATATTTATGTGTTATCTTATTAATATAGCAAAAGGTAGTAAAAATTTTTCTATAATATTAACTAACACGTCTCGCAATATAAATATTTACCGACAAGATAACAAGAAGTGAAAAATAGAAAAATATAACTCGACACCCTACAAGATTAGTTTAATGGTATATATATTAAAATCTATCGTTTGTTAGCATTAGTGTTATCCTTATATTAAATTTATCACACAAGATAAATCCTATAACAATTATACTTATTAAGCTTCTATTTAAAGCTAAATATTTATATATATAAAAGTAAAATATTTTATTATAAAAAGTAAGCATTTATATATTTTAATACAAAAATTAATTATTACACTTTTTATTAACCGATTTTTTTTTTATAGAAATTTTCTTAGTTCTTTGTTAATCACACGCGAGGTGATGCGCTCGAATGGTATAATGTTTCTTTAAAATTGATGAACATAATTAGATTTATGTACTAATTACACGTTGCATATTACACACGAAACATAAGTACAATAGGTAACAATTTCATGCACTATAATCCACAGAGGTGAACACCTGTGACGGACACTTCTATTGGATTGAATTCATTGACCAGAGAACGCATTAACCAACCATTCAATACGTAAAGACAGCAACTTCAATTAAAATCCACTTCTCGATTTGACGACGATGCCATTCTCATCTTTTAAATTTATAATCTCTTAAATAACGATGCGACAAAGCACGGTTTCGTTTTAAATTTGTAAAAAAAAATAATAATAATAAATAAATAAATAATATATTAAAAATTCATCATGAATTATGAAGGTTACTTCAGGAGCAATGGACAAGACAGTATCAACAACTCTTAGCAAAGTGCCATTTTGTATATATTTCTTTAATAACTGGCGAGAGATCTTTATAATCGTAAATTATATGAATAATTACATACCTTTAATTATTTTTCTCCAATTATTCTTAAGGATTTTCTTGTGATCGGTCCGGTGCAACAGGCAATGTCTTCCAGGGAATAAATATCACCATAGCGCATGCGTTGTTATTGGCTGGAGTAGCCGAGTACACACCGCACACCTTAACGTTCTCTACACCAACTGGCGATCTGTATGCGCTATCCCAGATGATAAACTCCCTTGTAGCGCCCTCTGCAGCTTAGCTTCTTCATAACACCAGAGATCTTTCAAGATCCATTTACTTGTTTGCAAAGGGATACAAACCGTGCAATTTTTTATTTTTTTTTACAATATTTCTGCCAAAATCTTTTAATTTTATTGAAAAAAATTGTATTATTTCTGTAAATTATATTTTCAAAAATTCGTCCTTTTTTTTTTCTTTGATAAACTGCTTTTTAGTTAACACACACAAAAAATTTGAATTCAAAATGAACAAACATGGCTTATTTTTTAAGTAATAGCAATATTATATAAGATATAAATTTATAAATATTATATAACATATAGCTGTATAAAAATACAGAAATTTTCTTCGTTTTTTTTGTAGTTTGCTCAGTATAAAATGGCAAAAATACTTGCAATTTTAGTTTATTTTTTTATAAATTATAAATTTATCACTCAAATTTTTCTTATATAATATCGAATATTTGGCATAGATTATCGGTAATTTATCATTGATTTCTCAGGAATTTTCTGTTGGAATTTTGAGATTTTTACATCAAAATTTAATAAATTAATTAATAATCTGTTTGTAAATTATAGTGAATTTATACTATTGCGTTATAAGAATTGTTAACATGTAATTGCATTAATTAATTAAAAATATTTACGCAAATATCTGTATAAATAATTAAAAATAAAATCTAAATTCAGATAATGTTTAAAGATAATTCCTTAATTTTATTACTTGTGTTAAACCACCCGCTTTTACGACTGATATAAGTTTACTGTTACGACGTATAAAAGATCATATTTTGTTTTAGCTTGGTCATTTCGGTGTGATATAATACAGTTTAAAGCTTATTTTCAAGAACAGAATATCAATATATAACACTAAACTTATGGAGAAATTAAGCTTCGATTTATGACGTCCTCGCTTAACGACGGTTTCCAAGGATTAATTATATAGTAAAGAAACTACTGTATATTATAATTTCTATAAATTTTCTTAAAATTAGAAATTTACAATCAATTTTTTCTCGTTATAATTCTAGTTTTTTTTTTTTTTTACTTCTCAAGCAGTTTTTTTATTTTCCTTTTATTATGATTATTTATTAAAAAGGAAAAAACAAAAAAGAAGTGTATAAGGACGTGTAGTGAAAAGTAAAACAAAGTTTTTCCTCTTATCTAATGTATTTATAATTAACATACCTTAATGGTACAAATTGACATAGAGACTTCAGTAAATATGTATATCAATTTGTGAGCTGCATCATTGATTATTCAGGAGTGTCTAGAGGAATTTATATCGAAATAATTCTTTAAAAAATGATTGTTTATGAATAAATATAAAGAGAATTATTAATTTATTAAATTATATTTTAACTAAGTAGTTGTATTAATTTACACAAGCCTCTATATATACATTATATATATATTTTTCTTATTCTGCTTCATTTATTAACTTATATATACATAAAATATATGTAATTTATTTTGAAAAAATACAGAATAAATGATTAGGAGATATAGTTTGATACCCAGAGGTAATACTTTACGTTTAAAAACGTTATAGCTTTAGGGTAATTAATTTAAATTATTCTTTGTTTAATTAATATCCTGTCAGAGTTTGAATAAAATTTATTTTTAAAAAAAATTAAGAAATAAAATAAAAATTTTAAAATTTTTGACCAAAAGATAATGGAAACTTTTCTAATTATCTATAATTTGAATTCTGGAGAGATCAATCAATTTAATAATAACAACATGTTATAAGATATGACGCTTTATATTTTAAATTTTAGGAATTTATAAACCAATTAATTTACATTTAAAATGTGTTTATAATTATTAAATAATGAAGCTTATTTTGTGTTAAAAATATATTATAAATTGTGGTTACTTGAATTTTGGACCACCCTGTAAATATATATAATTAAAAATAAATTAATAAAGTAAAATGTTTATATTGATTTTGTTTAAAGTAAACATTAAATTTTATATTCGTGTTTGTAAATTATAAATAAATAAAAAATTTAAAAGAAATTAAGTTAATTCAAGAAAAAAAAAATTGAATTTTATAACCCTTTTTTATTATTAAAATACATTTATATGAATATAAAAATTAATTTTAACTATTGTTTTACCATTTAAATATAACATAAAATATATTTTTTGCTAAATATTTATTTAAAAAATAAACTAAATTATTTTTTTTTATCAAAAAATCTCTTTAATGTTACTTTATTTTATATATTTCTATATTTTCTCAGGTTATTTTTTGAGTGTAAAAGAACAAAAAGAAATTGTTAAATTACGTGAGTTTTAAGTTTAGAAAGTATAAAATCTATTTGTAATTTTATTTTAAAGAAATGGAAATAATGTTAAGGATTTTATTTTCTTAGATAAAACACCGAAAAATCTTTATGAAACATTTTTTTTTGTTTATTTTGANTATGGATGAAAATGTCTGCACAGAATTGCTGCAGTCATCAATGACTTTCTTGACAATGACGACATTTGCCACATGGAATGGCCAGCAAAACCTCCAGATATAAATTCCATAGAACATGTTGGGATGCTTTAGGGAAAAGAGCATCATCCCATCAGCCTCTTCCAAGAACATGAGGAGTTTCAAGATACTCTTGTTTGAGAATGTACTTAGCTCTGACAGAGTCAATGTTTTGAGATATGCTGTACAGGTCTCGTACATGCAAGAAAAACATCGTGTTAATGTTTTTGTTAATTTTATGTTTTGCTTAATATTTTTTCTTTGTTAATTTTGGTTTGATATAATTTAGTTTTGTTTTTCAATTGTTTTGCTGCATAAAGAATACAATGTTCTGTTTTAAGTGTTTTGATCAATAGTTCCAGAGATCTATGCCGAATTAATGATTATTGCTTACTTTTTGAACATGAGTGCATATATATCAAACATATTTTTAACTATTTAGTGTTATTCTTTTTAAAATTTTAATGCTGTTGACATTTGATAGTTCACTTTTTTTTTTTTTTAATGTGAAAATAATTATAAGCCTTAATTATAATATGGTGTGGTCACTAAGTCTCTATGCATGAGATTAGTCTTTTTGGTCACACAAATGTAGGAAGCCACCAGCATAACCAGGGAGGGGACTATGGGGTCCAAGTCTTTCCCTTAACAAAAAAGTTAATAAAAATAATTTAATTGTGGAGTTATTTACTGATACAGTGATTTATATATGTTGTATAAATTTTAAAAGTAAAAATTTATTAAAATGTGTAGCAATTCATATTAAATTTTAACTTGAAGCTCTTAAAATCTGATATGGTTCCACTACTGTAGATGAGATTACTGTGGCTTCCTCAAAGTACAAATCTAGCATGTGACAATTCACATAGGAGATCCATAAAGAAAATTTTTCAATGCTACTTCAGACAAAGACAGAAATCTGTCATTAGGGACTACATCAACGATTTCAAACTTACAACATGGATAAGGATGTCAGAAACACTAATCAACATACATAAGGACTTTGTGGTCCACAATATTAATAAAATCACCTGAAACTTCAAAGCTCTCTTGTTATTTCCTTTTGGCTTATAAATTCCAGTTCTGTTACAAGAAAAATAATATTTACTATAACCAGAACCTAATTTCTTCTTACTAGTTTGGAAAAATTTTGAACAACTTGCTTTTTCGACTTGATGTTTCCATTCCCAAAATTCTAATGCAGAATAGAAAGAAGATAATGACATTTAATAATTAAACTTTATAAAAAATTTGGAGGAATATATTCAAAATAAATTAATTTCCTCCACTCTCTAGTGGAGGAAAGTACATACTTTCTAAAGATTCGAATATAATTTTTCTTGATTCGTACGAAGCAAGTTCGTGTTCGTCTCTTAAATGTTCTCTTAATTTGTAATTATATGTTGTATTAAATCCACAATTAACTTCAGCGCAATAAATAGTCCTCCTGATATCTGGAATAATTTTATGAACTTGACAATAATGTCTGCTTAAATTATCTTTCCTAGAAAATCTCTTGTTACATAAAGCGCAAGGAAAACCCTTCCTCTTCTCTTCCATGTCAACACAACCCAACGACGTCCATGAGGAACACTTCAATAAACACGCGGTTGTTTCCAGTAGCGACATCTTTCGTAAATTTTTCCGATTGGGATATAAATTAATTTACATAATCTTTATTTTTTTCAGTAACAATAATTTTATCGTAATTTAAAAATTATTTTTAATGATATTTTAAATATATCCACGCCGAAATAAAATATATACAACAATCAAATCGAGTATTTAAACGATTATGATTTCGTCTGCTATAAAATGTATCCCTCTAGTGGAGGAAAGTAAACGTAAAAATTGAATTTTAATAAAATATTTCTAATGATTTAATTTATTAGCATAAAAGTGACTCAGTTCTGGACGATAATGGGTCATTATATGTAAACAATAAAAATTATTCGAATTTGGCTTGAATGTTCGAGTGGAATACGAACTCAGATTCTTGACAATGGGAGTGTTCGAAAAATCAGATATCTAAATGAGCCAGTCGGAAACGCACTTGTAAAATAAGATCTGATAGGACATGACGTCAGAAACTAATCAGAAGCGAGGTCTTGGACCTTGAATCATAACTAGTGACGTGAATTCATGCTATGCTCAGAATCCCTTCTTCAATTCTTGGGTGCGTTCGTTAATAGCGGTGACTCCGCATCTACGTCACCATGAGAGGGAGTTGCTGTTTGTAGGCATTTGGGGACAACGATGAAAGAAAAATATGATACCAATGAAAAGTACCTATCGATAGTATTTTGGAATCTGTAATTTTAAAATCTATCGCGTAACGGGTACTGAAACGAAACTATCTGAACCAAGGAGGACACCATGTTGTTTCCCATCGCGTTCTGCAGGAATTTTTAAGCAAATTTCATGCGCGCGCGGAGGAATAAAAGAACGAAGGCCTTGGCTGACTCTTATAAGAAAAGATAGCCGCTTCCAATGCTTCTCTACAAACTTTCTTCTTTATTAATGTCTAACAGATATTCAACATAACATATTTAATATTGTTTTGCTTGGTTCAATGTCACGACTTGGTGAATTTATTGACACTTGACAAATAATTTCATCATCAACTTTTAATCCATATCTATTGATATATGGATTAAAAGATGATGAAACTATTTTCAAGAACAAGAAGAAGACACGGTTTCAACAAATAAATACTTCTAATTTTTGGTGGTGCACCAATGAGCTATTATTGTATTGATGATCTTATACACATAAATGAAATATGAAAATTTCTTATATGATAAAATATATATACAAATATTTTATTAGCATTATCTAATGATGTTTTTGAAGTTTTGTAGCACATCTATGAGAAGTAAATGGCGTGCCAACAATACAGACTAGAAGAAAATTAACTGTATATAAGGATTTAAGGTGTAATATTGATAATGTATAAAATCCATAAGATCTTATAATGTGTAGCAAATCAACAATAACTTAGTTACCATTATCATCTTCAATATTGACTTATAATTCAGAATTTGCTAATTATGCTTTAATTACATATAAAAAATAGTGTGTTTTCTGCCTGTATGTTCTTCTCTGTACACTTCTAAGCCATTTGACTGATCTAAACCACATTTTTCAGTTACTAGGATCCTGCAGAAAATATAAGCTAACTTGCAGTGCTATAATGGAAAACAGTAGGGACCTTGCAAATTTTTTTGAAGAGATTATCTTTTACCTGATTCATGAGCAAATCTCAATATTAATAATTAAAAATTTATTTTAAATTCAAATAATTTATTTACTGTTATTTTCAAATTCCTTTTTATTAAAGATTTTCTGCTAGAAAAATCTCTCTTAAATTATGGTTATGATAATTAAATAAAAACTATTAGATGGAACTTCAATTAAAATTCTCCCATTAATAGTTTCATTTTTAATGTTTCCCATCCTATGGACACTAAGAGAACCCCTTTTTCAATATCCAGGCCTACAATGGAAGCAGTTGGACAGTGAGAAATAACATATTTGGATAAACCACTTGGATTCAATCTTGGATCCCCAGAGCAGAAGGCTGATGCCTTAACCATCTTGTCCATCATTAGAGAGAATGCTTTGTCTATGTTCCTGTTAAAACCATTTTGGGCAAATACATATTTCCTGTGGATAGTTAAGAAACACAAGATGGTTGGATGGCCAAGGCAGTAAAGCCTAACATTTTGGGAACAGGCTTGAATCTGGGCAAGCAGTTTTCCCCAAGAGTTTTCCTGTTTGGTTAAACTCGTGTTAGATCCCATCCCTCATTGGTCTCTATTGTGGGTATGGCCAAACCCATAATGGGTATAGAAGTAAAAAAAGTGCCTACAGGATGAAAAGAATTTAGAAAAAGTTACAAAATATCAGTCTCCTGAGACTTAGTTATTGTGAATATGTGAAAATATGTTTCTTTCATCACCAGTTTTCTTTTAATAAAAATCATAACATTGCATCCTCTTATCTTTGGGTTCAGTAAAATTGATAAAGACAACTCATCAACTAATTTAGCATCTTAAATCAAAACAAACTAATAGTTTGTTACCAAATGACATTATTTACAAATAAATTATTTTTTTTCTGGAAACAATACAAATGAAGCCAAATAATCAGTATTTGGGTAGGTACACAAAAAACACCTTATCTCTATATAAAATTAAAATTTGCTACTGTAATGAAATGTACAAAATAAAATATTCTTCACAGAACTTTAAATGTAAAATCTCACAAGTGTTTTCTTACCAACTTAAAATTTCTTCCAATTGCTGGGTCTGCAGGGGTAATTGTTATGGATCCTGCTAACATGAAATCTTCTGGAATCCTATAATTTCAATTTGATGCAGCGATAATTATATAATAATGCATTAAACCTAATAATGACCCATTAATTATTATGCAATGTTTTAATTTTCATGTTTATCTGTATTACTTTTTGCCTGGTCAACACTGACCTGCTAGTTGAAGATATATATATATATATATATTTATTTATTCTAATAGCAGATGTATTTAGATAAGTAAATAATCTACATCTGCATACATTTTTATTTGTTCTAAGTACATCAATTTTTCTTGCATGGTGTGTAGACAAACTTGAAAAGCTGTTTAATTTTACAGAAATTGCAAAATCGGAAAAATATATTTGATTTTAAACAACAATTTGTATCATTAGTATTAAAAATAGAATGCTCATGTTTCAACAACAAACTAATGTCAAATAGCCTGAATTCACACAGTCTTCCCTTCATTAACACAAGTAACAGTAATTATTTTAAGGAATGAAAATGGCAGTCATCATCCAATTTTATATTGGCCTTAGCGAGTTTCCTTATTCCTGCAGACAAAGAAATATTCAGTAACTTGTTAAGGAGGTGGTGAATTACTATATTTACGTACTGAAAAATCATTCGACCTTTTGCATTTTAGCGGGTGGCTCCAATAAGGAATTTCCTATCAATCCTTGTGCAGTATTAAATAAATTTATGGGGCAATTTCCATCAGTGATGAGAGTTGTATGAAGTCCAAGTCCTTGAAGAATTTTTACCTGAAAATAAAATGAATTTATGACAATATTTTCCATTTATTATATAATATATTGATTGGATTTATATATAATAAGTTTATTTGCAAGAAACTCAATATTTCATTTTATTGTAAAGAACTAGAAAAGCTGAAATGTATGGACATTTAGGTGTTCATGCAGTTGAAGAAATACACATGTATGATGTTAAAATTACTTCAAATAATTGCATGATTTATTCAGCTTATGATCTCATAATAAAATTATAAAAATAACGTTCAATTGTATCATTTAAATTGAATTTTGTAGTCATTTAACTAGTAAAAGATCCAATCTATAATTGCAGAATCATCCACAAACATCAACCTGAGGATTAGATACTAATTTGATTTTAATGTTGACTAATTAACTTGGTCTGATGTTGAGGATTATTCAAAAACCACCTCTGGCCATTATCTCTTGAGAGATGCTTTTATTGACAAGAATTAAATATTCTTTCAACTATTCATTTAATGATGATTAAATATTTTTAAATCATCATCATCCTCATCATCATCATTAAACATAATGAAATTATTTTTATTT